CCTTATTTTCAAATTTTATTATTTATAATTATTTTTTTAATATTTTTGCATTTTAAAAAAGTAAATCAGAGCTAAATGAATATAAAAAATATAAGCAAATATGCTTGTGTTAGCCTATAATTTAAGGAATAAAATCTAATCACTTAAGCTAGCTAGCTCATTACAGAGCTATTTACTAACTTCAGCTTAGGTTATTTTAAGATATGTATTACTTAATATATTGTGAGCATGCAGAGCTCTAGTTAACCTTAAAGCATACCTACTAGAGTAGTCTATACTTATTTTACAAATTTACCTAGCTTAGACTCTTATAATATTCATATAATCCTAGTTTTTATTATAACTCTCTACTAGTTTTCTGTTTGTTAATTTCTTTAAATATTTTATAAAATAGATCTTCTCAATTTAGTTAGCTACTAAGTTAAATTAGTATTGCTAATTATCTTTGTAGAATAGACTTATTCATATTTTACTTGATCTATATTTTTAGAGTAACAGTTTCTTTTCTGAATTAAATATTAGTTGATATAATCATGAAAAGCTATACTACTTTATCAACTCAGATTTTTACTATGCAGGTCTCTTGCTCATAGATCCTATCAAGATTTATTCATGTAATATTATATCTCTTCAAATGCCTTGTTACACTTCTAATATCTGAATGATATTAGTACAATATGATTTATAGAGTTACAATACTAGAAACAAACAAGGTTTATCATAAGTTAGATACAAAGATTTAGTTAATTATTCAAATTTGTTAATAGTAGAATTTGAATTCTAGACTTTTTGTATAGTGATCTAGCAACTTAACTACTACACTAAGATTACTAAACCTAAGATTTTTTATTTAATATTGAAACTTATATACAATTTATATACAATTATAATAAGCTAATTTAATGATTATACATACATATTTAACTAATACTAATATATATATATTTGCTATTATTGTTAATTGAACCTAACAATTATAATGAATTTATTATTAATCGACTCAAATCGACTATCTAATTTATAAAATAATTATTAACTTAATATTTTAAATTATCAATTTAAGTTAAATCATTAGTATCTCTATACAGGACGAGTTCTATATAGCATAGTAGATATTCAATTTTATTAGCTTATAAAACTCTAAGTTATATAATATAATATAAAAAAATTTTTTAAAGTAAACTTTACTATAAAAACTACTTTATTAATTAGCAACTTTCAGTTTCACAAAGTAAAGTTTAACTAAAATGTTTTATAGGCTTCTTTTACTTTCAAGATGTCTATTAAACAAAAGTAATTTCTATTGATCTCTATTGTTAAAAACTTTGCTTAGAGTAAAACTTTTAACAAAGCAAGTATAATAGTAAGTATATACAAGTTAAAGTGCAGCTTGTTAAGTAAAAATAAAAATAGAATAAAGTTAAAAATAACAATTTAAAAAGATATAATACTGTAATATGAGTATAATATATAATTTAAGATCTTAGTTTATCAAAATAATATTTATTATATGTTGTAAAAATTCTAGAACAATTAGCTAATTATATTTATTTTATTTTTTTTTAAGATACGATTAAAGATTTAGAGATTTATATATATATATAACTATATGCTGCTTTGTTATAATTTAAACTATAAGGTTTTCTTTATAAATTAATAAATAAAATAAATATAGTCATTTTACTTGAACAATCTAATTAATTTCATACAATATATATTTTAAGATTAGTTAAAGTTTTAATTTTTTTTTCATTTGAAATTCATGATTTAGTTAGCTAATAATCATATAACAATTTGTATATTGTTCACTTCCCTAGCATTGCCAATAAAAATTTCACAGTCATGTGATAGATCTACTAATTAAATCATAATATAGATTAGCAATTTATTTTTTCTATCTACTATCGTTATATACAATATTTACATATACAAATATAAAAAATACTAAGTATATACAACAGAATAACCTAATATAAAGAAAAACTACGTTTAGAAAAGATCTGCACTTTTGAATTTTTTTTATAATAAGTTAAGACTTTCGATTAGTAGATAAGTAGGCTTAGTGAGATTTGCTTTGATGTTGAGATTAATTTTTCTGCTGCTTTTTTATAAGAAAATGATAAAAAAAAAAAAAAGAATTATATATAAATAGGTTGAGTTCATTAGCTAGATTAAATAAATATTTATCAGAACATAATTATACTGTAAATTATTTTAAAAAATATGTATTATTTGTATACCTCTTTCAAGTTAAATATAAGATCCTTTTTCTTTTATATTTTTCTATTTTATCAATTATCTTACTAATAGGATCAAAATTCTTTTTTATGGACCTGACCTATTAAGTATTATTAGCTATCTTTTGCTCTTTGAGAAGTATTAATGTTTTTATTATTAAGGTTATTAACTCCTCATAGTTTCATTATTATTTTCATTAAGATTATCAGTATCACTATATGAAAAAATAGGTTCTAATTGCATTTTGACAAGACTCTAGTTACATTCAACAAGAAATAGAGGCCAGTAGTTTTGTTTGATAGAATTAAAAAATTCACTAGATATTAATCTTTTTTGTTTAACTAGATGCTTACAAATGCCAAAGTAACTAGTTAAATAATATTGATATTTGCATATCCATTGATCTATATTTGTCACATATGTTTTATTAATAGAGTGAGTTGATAATTCTTTTTATTCTTATTTTAATAGCTTAATCTACTTTAGTTTTTCTCTTTCAGCTACAATTTGTTGTAGTTTTCATAGCTAGTGAGTTACTACTTTTGATATTATAATATAAACTACTAAATTGAGGTGTAGTCAAAAAAATTTATATAAAAAGTCTCTTTTTATAACCTTCCAATACTTTTCTACAAATATAGTAGTCTTTAAGATTAATATTCTATTTTTACAAGAAGATCTCATCTATAGTTACTACTTTTAGTTATTATACTACTCGCACTATAGATAACACTAGAGAAAAATTAATGAATTGGCTTTACAAAAACTATACATCTCTTAAATAGCTATATCTCATATTAATATACTAGTAATAAATTAGCTATCGGAAGTAAGAATTAATAGATACTAATAAAAATATTTTTTCATTATTTCTAAAATAGTTTGTTAATACTCTTTGGGATAGAACTTAGATGATTGTTTAATATCATCAAATAGAAATCAAGTACCAAGTTCTGATAATGGATTAAATGAGAAATTTTGAGGTTTTTTATTACTTTTTAATCACATCTCAACAGCTCTTTTTATATACCACTTAAATAATTGAATTTTAATTCTACTTCAGGTAAAACATGAAGTATTGATCTGAGCAAAATCTTTATCAGTGAATAAAAATTTAGATTAAATTCCTTCATTATGCAGCTTTGTAAAAAAGGTCTAAAGTATAGCAGTACATATTTTCTCACTATATCTACTATTATTTTTCAGAAATAAGTAAGCTAATAGAAATTCTGTACCATTTACCTCAGTATAAAAACTATAAAGTTCTATTCTGAAATTATTAGTTTTATCTAAAAAATACAATTGTTGTTAGATGAATTTTTAAGGTTTTTATAAATTCTGAGCCACCTAAAAATTTATTCATTTTCAAAATCGAAGAGATTTTGGAAAATAAATAAATTTTTAGGTAGCCCAGAATTTATGAAAACAACTGTAATAAGAATTAAAATTACATGTAGGTATGCATTATGCAATAATATTTACTTACAAGTTGCATCAATATTATATTCACTAATATTTGTATTTATTTATAATAGATAATCATAGAGTCTCATCATAAAGGCTAAGATGCAAACAGATTGTATTTCTTCTAATATTATTTTGTATTAACCTTCTTTTAGCCACTGTATTGCTAATTCAAAAGTATCATCTCAATGCTTATACCTATTTTGTCCTATCTCTAACTACCAATAGTGAATTTGTTTTTGCTGAATTAATAGATTTATACTGTTAGCAATAAGCCTTGCATATATTTCTTTTAGTAATAAGTCTATATTATCTTTAATAAATTCTTTAATATCTTTAGGTATAGTTATATCATTTGGCTATTTATGTATTAATTTATGTTTTATTATTAACTTAGCTATACCAATTAATTCATTAATAATTACTTTAATAACTCTATTACAATCAAATATCTTCATTAATGATATATTACAATGTTTTGATAAATCTCTGTGCTTTTTAGGTTTTTCTGCCAAAATAATTAATTATAAACAAAAATACCAGTAGGTGGTAGTGTATTTTCCTATATATATATAATGGTAACTTCAAGTGGAATTGTTAGTAAGTATAAGTTAATATTATCTATAAATTGCTACTTATATATCCTTCTCTAAATTATACTCAAGAGGTTTTGAACTAAAATTTACTATATTTATACCAATATACTAATATACTTCAAGGAGTAATGCTTTTATATATTAGAAAATATTGAAAGTTATAGAACTTCGCAAATTAGCATATCAACGTAAAAAAAAATACACAAAGTATCATACAAACTAACTATTACAAATATCTGGATACTAGTTAGCAGTTAAGTTATATTAAATAATTACTTATATCCATGAATATTTGTCTACATCTTTAACTAATTCAATTCATTTCTCTGCTACTTCTTTTGCTGATTTGTTAAATATTAATATATCTATCTCACATTGAAAATTAAATAGAGGTTCATTTTCTAAACTATTATTAAGCTGTGTTGAATATTCATTTAAAAGCTGTTGAATATGGTCACAAAGGTTTGATAGCTCAATTATTTCTAAATTAGTTGTATTTTTATAGTCATTATTTTCATAATCATTATCTTCTTAATTATCATTTCCTTGGTCATTTTCTTTGATTTCTAACTATCTTTTGTTAACATTTCAGTGTAGTCCCACTATTCTATTATGACAATCATTATATATGCAAAATCGCTTTACTTTATCCTTTGCTTCAAGTTCCAAAAATTCATTAACAGGTTTTGTATATAGACATCCAATGTAAGTAGAAGTTTCCATTGTAATAGAAAAAAAACTTTTAATTTATAAGCTGATTTTAACAATTAATTTACTAAGGTTAATTAAGCTTCGCTATTTAATATTTTTACTTAATAAAGTTTGGGGGTTTAAACGTAGAAGTTTTATTTGCAACTTTTTTGAGTTTATATATTTTTAACCTATATATTTGCAACAATTCAGTAAGAATGACTATGATTAATATTTATAATAAAAAATCTGTGAAATGCAATTAGAAGGCTATAACCAATAAATACAAAATACTGCTAAACTTATTTAAAATTGCATTTTGACGCCAAATAAAAACTTGGAAATCTTATAAAGATTTCCACATTCTTATTTAGAGACGCTTATTTAATAAAGTAAATTTTTCAACATAGCATTTATTAAATTTAAATAATTTGACATGGTATTAATTCAAGTACAATAATTATTATAGAATTAATTCGTAAATAATTAATATAACATTTATTAATTTCAAATAATTAATATAACATTTATTAATTTCAAATAATTAACATGGTACTTATATGGTATTTATCTAGTGTAAACAACTTTAACGTGGAATTATTATGAATAATTTATTTGATATTTATTAATTCACAAATAATTAATGTTCTTATTTAGAGATGCTTATTTAATAAAGTGAATTTTTCGACGTGGCATTTATTAAATTTAAATAATTTGATACTGTGGTATTAATTCAAGTACAATAATTATTATAGAATTAATTCGCAAATAATTAATATAATATTTATTAATTTCAAATAATTAACGTAGTACTTATATAGTATTTATTTGAGCGTAACAACTTTAATGTGGGATTATTATGAATAATTTACATGATATTTATTAATTCACAAATAATTAACGTGGTATTTATATGATATTTATTTGAATTAAATAATTTAACGTGGTATTAATTAAAAGAGCCACGTCTAACAATCATTTTTTGCCGTACGATCTATTCATATATTGGTACATTTTATTTGTGAATATCATATACATATATATGATATTGCGCAAGTCAAAAATGTACGTATTTTATTAATATTGTTAAAAAATTTTATTATATATGGTTACGTTACACGCGATTGGATGCATCAAATTTTATCACGTGACTGTGAAAATTTTGTTGGCGATCCTGAGGTAGTTTATATTGTTTACATTTATTAACCAATCAAATCGAATGTCCGCTATGCTTCAGATATCGATATGATTTTACTCGCGATCAATTTCTAAATTAGTACAAATTGCACACGTTGTATTGTAAAGATTATGTCAAAGAGACATGTCAATAAAAAAACATAAGAAATATAAAAGCTTTTCTTTCTCTCTAATAATTTTATTAATTTTACTATCTTATTTTTTCGTAACTTTTGTTATTGTTATTATTCATCGCCTTTTGATCAACGAATTATGCTTTAATATTAGCAAAATTATGTGTACTTACTGGTTTTTTTCTTCTTTTATTAGAGCGGTTTTTTTTTTTTTAATACTTTTTTATTTTATTTTTTTTAATAGACTTGAGAACTATTAGAGTGGTTTTTTTTTTTTTCTTTTATTCTTTTATTAGAGCGGTTTTTTTTTTTCTTTTATTAGAGCGGTTTTTTTTTTCTTTTATTAGAGCGGTTTTTTTTTCTTTTATTAGAGCGGTTTTTTTTTTTTTATTAGAGCGGTTTTTTTTTCTTTTATTAGAGCGGTTTTTTTTTTTCTTTTATTGGCCGATTATATTTTGCAGGTATTTTTTATGTTTCTTTCTTAGTTGATCATTTAGGAGATGAATAATAGCTTTTTTTTGTACTTTAATTTTCGTTTTTTAATATATACTTTATTTTTTCTAACTAAAAAAAAAAAGTTATTAATCTTTTAAAGAGAATTATGATTTGGTTTTCTTCTCTACAGGCAACGATAATTGCGTCTTTCGCTGTCCTTCGTCTTTTTGGTGTCGTCGCGTTGTTGGCGTGGTTACTCTTTCGTCACTGTTGGTGACGCCGTTTTTGGTGAAATTTCGTTGTTGATGAGGTGAGGTTTCGTTCGCGCCGCTTCTGGTGAAATTTCGTTGTTGAAGAGGTTCGTTAATGGTGGTTCTTTCTTTAAGGATTTCTTATGCATCTCTTTGTGTCGTCGTAATGGTGTGAATTTCTTCGTCGCAGTTCGGTATCGCCATTGCTAGTTGGTAAAGAGAGGTTTCGTCTTCGTTAGTAGTGGTTTTGTTTGTCCTTTTTAGGTCGTCGTCGTTGCTGGTGGTGGATTTTTCTTTGTTTCTTTAGTGTCGTCGCGTCGTTGATGTGGTATTCTTCGTCGCTTTGGTGTTGTCGTTGGTGACGTATGGTGGTTTTTTTTTGTCGTAAGGTTTTCCAATTCCTTTTTTGTCTTTCTTTAGGTCGTCGTTGCCGGTGTTCTTCGTCTTTTGGTGTAATATTCTTTGTCGACGTAGTTGATGAGGATTCATTCTGTCATTGTGGTGTTTTTGTTATGAAGTTTTCTAATTCGTTTTTTTGTCTTTCTTTAGGTCGTTACCAATGTTGAATTCTTTCTTCGTCTCTTAGCGTCGTCGCGTTTTTGGTGTAGTTGTTTCGTTTTCGTTATTGCGGTTTTCTTTTGTTGCACGTGCTAACGTGAATTCTTTTTCTTTAGGTCGTCATTATTGGTGATAGATTTCTTCGTTTTCGTTGTATTTGGTGTCGTAGTTAATGTGGATTTTTCGTTGTTGCGGTTTCTTTTGTTGCCAGTGCTAACGTAAATTCTTTCTTTAGATCGTTGTTATTGTGGATTTCTTCTTTTTCGTCGTTGGCGTGGATTCGGTTTGTTATTACTGTTTTCTTTGCTTCACGTGTTAACGTATATTCTTTTTCTATAGGTTGTCGTTATTGTCGTGGATTTCTTCTTTTTCGTCGTATTGGTGTTGTTGGCGTGCATTCGTTTCTTTTATTGTCTGTGCTAATGTGAATTCTTTTCTTTAGGTCGTTGTTATTGGACTTTTGGTTCTTATAAATGTTGGTTGCTGGGATTTTTATTAGCATCGTAGGCAACGATATATTTAAAATGTTTGTAACGATTTGTTATGTAATATTTTAGAAAAGTCAAATAAATAATAATAAGTAATTATTTAGTTGATCATTGATCACGTGATTAGGGTGCAAAAAAAAATAAATCCTAAAAATAAATCGTATATTGTTGACCTTTTCACATAAACGATAATTGGAGCGAAGTGAAAGCATTAAATTAAAGCCTTACTCTACGAAATTTTAGAATATCCGGTTCCCAGTTTAACTGACCCTGATTTAGGTTCAGCATTTAGAAATTGAGCCTAAATCAGGTTCAATATCTGTATACTTAAATCTTAATAAAACCGAATCTATTATACTGTATGTAGGGTTGGGATAACTTACCTGACAATGTAACTTACATTGTAAGTTACATCGTAAGTTACATGACCTCATGTAAGTTACAAATATATATGGTGTTAAAGCAGGCCGGTATTAAGAAATTTTGACTAGCATTAAGATAAAATAGAAAAAAGAAAATTTTTAATTTTAGGCCAAAAGCTAAAGCGGGCCAACTTTAAAAATAGTGGCCAGCATTAGATTAGTGTAACATTATGTAAGTTACGTAAGTTTGAGATCATATACAAAATAAAGTCATTGCTTATTATGTAAAGCTATATTCCCGTTAAGATTTTTTTAGTCCATATATCGGCTGGAGCGAAGCGAAACAAAGCCTTACTCTATGAAATTTCAAAATGTCCGGTTCCCGGTTTAACTGATCCTGATTTAGGTTCAGCATACGGAAATTGAGCCTAAATCGGTTTCAATATCTGGATACTTTAAATCATAGTTTAAAATATAGAAACTGGCTTTTAATAAAATAAAAGATCAACTAGAAAACGGCGGCGTTTTGTAGGCCGGAGCCTTAATTATTAGGTCTTAGATTTTAGAAATAAATTCAAAATTTTTTAAATTTTATAAATTACAATTATGATTTATAATAAATTTATAATTAAAATAATCATTGTTCTTTCATTAATCTTTGTTGCCATCAAAAGAAACGCAATATCAAAAAAGTAGATCATTAAAGAGTACGAATCCTTAATACGCCTACAAAATGTAAAGCCTGTTGAAATTCCTTATTTCCAAGATTTATTACAGCCTGCGGTAATGTCAAACCCTGTGACTTATGAATCGTAATTGATCAGGCAAGACATAAAGGAAACTGCATGCGAGAGCAAGTTCCTGATTTAGTGTATTTAATAGATCGAATTGGTACTACTTTATGGTTCAGTATAAATAATGTTGGACCCGTATACTTATCCAGTTCAGGCAGAATTACTGTAGGCGGTGAGAGTAATGTCCTTCCTAGTTTATGTTGGTTTCTTTATTTGTATGTTCGTTTCTGTTCTCTTTAATATAGTCATTTGCCGTTAATTGATGTTTTCTTGTCTTTTTTGGTGTTTCATTTAGAGATGCTGGTGAAATTAATTTCACCAATTTCACCACTCTAGTTTTATTTCACCATCTACTGTAGTTTCGTAATTTTTATTATCGTGAATTACATACAGTATAATAGATTTGGTTTTATTAATGATTAATTTTTGTTGTACAATTTTGTTATTAATGATAGTATATTTGTATTTTTTTTTTTTATATTTGTATTTAATTTTTAAACTACGGTCTTTAATTTATTAGCGCTAAGAAAAAATGGTTTGATTGTTTGTGTAATGGTGATCTCCTTTTAAGATTAAGATATACGTACCGTAGCTTAACGCTACTGGCTAAGAATTTATTAATTGATTAATAAGGAAAAGAGATTTTCTATACTAGGAAATTTTGGATTACACAAGTAAAAACGGTTGTAAAAAAATACTCATTGTATCTCTTAGCGCTATTTATATTTGCAGTGATTAGCTTTGCGAGATGAGAAGAGATGCGCTACTAGCCGCTCAAAAATTTTCGCTAGCCGTACAGTAAGTCTTTTTATAATAAAAGATTCAATTTGTGTTA